TGTGGATTTCAGGATATACAAAGGGGCAGGTTTGGGCAGATTTGAAGGCTGATACTGAAACAGGTATTTCATCTTTTGCATTCTAAAAGAGGAACAAACATCCATTGACCACCTGTGATACTATGTTATCCCTATCACCTATTGCGTACATTATGTCATTTAGTTCTTCAGTAAACCCCATGAAGTGAGTATCATTTTAGGACACTTCACAGTTAATGCTAAGAGCTAACATTTATGTCAGCAGTGTGTTCAGTGCTTTATTTGTGCTATATCAGTGCAGTTTCAGCAATGACTGTCTAGCACAGCCCAGTAGAACTTTTCCCTGAGAAGGGAAATGTACTCTATCTTCACTGTCCTGTATGATAACCACTAGGCACGTGTGTCTTTTGACTACTGAAATTTTAAATTTTATTTTAGTCATTTGAAATTTTAATTTAAATAGCCACATGCAGCCAGTATCTACTGCATCAGACAGTGCAGCCTTTGCCAATAATATTATGCCCATTTTTCAAAGGAGAAACTCATTCAGACAAGCAGTTTAATGAAACTTGCCCAAGTTCATACAATTTTATAAAAACAAGCTTTTGAGCAGAGGGATGTTGCAGGGAGGTTCACTTGGCAGTGCACGTGGAACGGATGGAGGGGAAGGAGGAAGGCAGTTAAGCCGAGAGGACGAAGACTCTGACTCGGCTGGCCACGCTGGGAACTGGGGGGAAGAAGGGTTGCAGGTGACTGGGGGTAGAATCGCCACCACTTAGTGGCAGCTGTGGGGGCTTTGGAAGAGAGAACCTGCGGTTACAAGGAGGTCTTAGAATCTGGGTAACCTGGAAAAATGATAATACTGTTTACTAAAACGGAAAAATCAAAAACCTTTTGGGGGTTTAAGAGGATTTGGTTCTGGCAGTTTGTTCATTCAAAAAATATTGGTTGAGCGAGGCCCTCTGCTACGCTTAGGTAGAGAAGTGGGGTCCCCATTAAGAATTGCACCCACTTAAGACGCCCTCCCCATCTGCATCCTGTGGAGGACAGTGAGCTGTGAGAATGTGCAGGTCCCGTGTCCTCTTGTGCAATGGCGATTATTTCCAGAGGCAAAGGGATTAGGGGAGGTGTGGGTGGAAGATGCTATTTGAGCTCCATTCTGAAGACCAGGAAGGATTTGGACATGCAAGAAAGATTAAATGAGGAAGAGTTTATGTTTCTAGCCATGGGGTGGACAAAGTGTTTTGAAAAATCCCTTTTGCCAAAACACCTAAATGCTGGATAAGTTATGCTAGCCTTTGGAATGCATAGCAGGTCCTGCAGGAAAGAAAGGGAAACCCCCAGGGGTCAGAAGGTCAGAGAGCTGAGACCGGAGTAGTCGAGGAGCGGTGTGTCGCCTTTGGGGGCATTTGGCTGGTGGCAGAAATGAAGCCCCGGGGGGGGGACAGGTGACGGGCTCCGCCTGCTCCCCACCCAGGGTAGAGAGAGAGGACCGTCCGCCTCGGACCTCCCAGGTGGACAGTTTGTAGAGGCAGCACTCTTGGGGGAGTTTGCGTAAATTAGGGTGTTTCAGGGAGTGACTTTTTCGTAACAAGTAAAATGTAAATATTCCTACCTGAACTTAATACAACTCATGGCCTTGCACAAGCCCCTTCCCGCAACATTATCCAGAACCCTCAAAAAAAAAAATCTATACAAAATCAGTGAAAGGTAGACTAGGAAAAAACATCTCCATCTCGGCAAAGGAAGATCACAGAGAAATTTATTCATTTCTGCCATAGCTCCAGGTAGGGGAATAAAGGTACCACCTGAGAACAGAAACTGTTAATGACATGAGATGTCAGACCTCGGTCCTTGAATTCAGCCTAGAGAAGAATTCAGAGCCCAGGAACTCAAGTACAAGGGAAAGTGTATTTAGAAAGTTTCAGGGTGGAAGTAGGGAGCCCTGGAAAAAGTGAGCCAGCTGGGCTGCACGGACTCAGGAAACAAGTTATGGAGGAACAAGCAAAAAAAGGAACCTTGGGGCCCAGAAGAAGGAACATGTGCTGGGCCTGGGGGGGGAGTACAGAGTTCCTGGAGGCACCTTTCCTCACCCGCCCTTTCCCCCAGACACGTGCCCAGGCCCTCTGGGCGTGTGCTGGGTCCTTCGTCTTAAAAGCCCTTTTTATTAAGGGCTTTTATCAGGAAGTCTCTGGAGGATCTCAATAGAATATTCACCAGCTTTCCAGCTGTGTCTCAGGGTCCTGGTCTCCACTGGTTGGTCAGCACCAGGGCAGGGGATCTTTCATCAATGTGGCTTGTCCTGATGTCAGCCACGGCGGTGCTCCTCCTGGTCCCGCTGCTTCAGAAGCCTGGTTGTGGGGGCTGGTGTGACGAAAACTCTGTCTCTGTGGTCAGCAGGCCCGAGGCTTTGTTCCTGCGATTATTTGATGCAGGCCAGAAACTCACTGTCGTGAGGACTTAATGCTTAAGGAACTGGTCATTCAGGGGCTTGTATGGGAGTCCCTTGAAGCTTCTCCCCAGCCCCCTTGTTCCTTTAAGGGGTCTGCCATGTGACCAGTGATGTGCAAGGGGAGGAACAGTCACCCCGAGGGTGAGGTGCCACGCCCCAATACTCGTCCTCCCAGTTCTGCCTGCTGCGAGGTACCCAGGGCTGCCCGCCCTGGTGACCTTCCTGTTGGTCGTGACCTTCCTGTTGGTCCTGCCCTTTCAAGTCCGACTCCCTGCTGGATCAAGACCACAGGGCCCACCTGCCCTCAGACCCAGGATTCAAATTGACATGGGCTAAAAAACCTGGAAGCCAAGAAATTAAAGTTGGCCCAGACTGGCAGTGTGCCAGAGTACCTAGCAAAAATAAATACAGACCCTCCCTGGACTCATCGCCCTTATCACAGCCTTGTAGGGTCCTCTCAGCTGAGCTCAGCACCAGACACCATCAAAGTCACGGGCAAGGCTCAGCAGAACCAGCGCATGGGGCGCGAGAGTCCTGGGGATTTCAGGCTCGAATGATCAGAAACAAATTCATATAACGTTTAAAGACATGAAAGGAGACAAAGATTGTGGAAGTACTGTACTTCAAAATGTATGGAAATTGAGAATTATTGTCCCCGAAACCTACGCTGGGGAAAGCACTCTAGGAATGAATCTGGGAATTGTCGCGATGAACTGAGGAGATGAGAAAATCGGTGGACTGTGAAGGCCTGACCAGAGAAATAGAATAGGAAGGAGGTTATGGTCATTCGTCATGGAATTATTCAAATCAAGCCCATAATGGTGACAAAGGAAAAGAAACTACCTTGGCAAGATTTGAATATACATGTTTAGCAACAAGTCAGCTGATGGGGTAAATGGCAGGTACGAGTCAGAAATGGCTGAGGTTTCATTATTTGGAAAGTCAGTCGGAGAGGAGGGAGCCGAACGCACTGGCGGATGGGTGGAGATAAGCTTTGTAAGTCTTTACAAAGTTCCTGGGAAATACTCGATTCCAGTCCGTTAAACTGTGAGAAGATACTCGTCCACACGTGAAATTATTTTCCCATGCCTACGAGTAATTTCTTACAATTTGAAGGTGGTTCTATATTTACTTTAGAAAATGGCGTGCACGAAGAGACAGTTGTGTGTTCTAATCCGCAGTATTGACCCATTATTGCCTCCCGACATCCTCAGTCCCGAACTCGAGGGAGAAAGCGGCGAGGTGTGGCCCGTGTGTGTTTAGGCCCTCTCTTCTCCCCTTTCACGGAGGAACTGGGACTGTGACGGTGAACAGAACAGTTGGTTCCTGCTCTCACAGAACTTCAAGTGCAGTGAGGAAGATGAAACCAAAACAAGCAAGCAACAGCCAAGTGTGGGAGCGTCCTGGGGGGAAGGAAAGGCTGCTCATGGAGACAGAGTGGGGACCCTCGGCTGAAGGTGAAGAGCTGAGACTTGAAAATGTGCAGGAGTCCCCTGGTGGCCGTGGTGGGGGGTGGGCAGCACCGGAGTCTGCTGGCCCAGGCAGCACAGTGCGGGTGAAGGTGCGCGCGGGAGCGCGGCGCGTTTGGAGATCGGGAAGCAGTCTGCTGGGGCCGTACAGCCTGGCAGGTGGTGGTGGAACGGAACGGCGTGGGTTTGAGCCTTGTCTCCACTTCCCCATGACCTTGGGCAGTTCTCTTAACCTCTATAATTCTGCTGTGAGGAGTAAATGTATTTAAAGTGCTCAGTACCATTGCTGACACAGGGTAAGTCTGCTTTTGTGATGATGATGATGAGCAAGGAATTGGGAGCAGAGACAGAGTGACCAGAGAGGAATATAGAAAGTCGAGATCAGACAATGCAGGGACCTTCTAGACCATGTTAAGGAGGAAAGAACCTTTAAAAGGAGACAGGGGAAGCACTGAAAGATTCCTCTTGGGAGAAGAAGGTGGTCAGATTGGTGTTTTAGAACTAGAAGGATCACCCTGGTTTGAGGCGCCGTCTAGATTGGCTGTGGTCCAGTCTAGAGGGGGACCGTTTAGTAGGCGATGATAATGAGCTGGCCAAGAAGTGGCGGCCACGAAGATGGAGAGAAGAGGAGGATTTTGAGGACATTTAGGAGGAATGGACAGCACTTGGTACTCGATTTCGTGTGGGAGGATGGGAGAGAGGTTTCTGGATGTGGCGAGTAGGGGGCTCGTGGTTTCATTCCTGAGAAGCCGAAGAGGATCCGGTGTTCAGGGGTGTGTGCAGGGCGGTCTCAGAGGGGGGCAGCTCGGGGGGCTACGTCCAAGGTTGGGGCAGCGGGTGGCTAAAGTGGAAGAGATGAAATGCTCATGAATGATCGTGTCTGATTTGTTTTTTCTCTGCTTCAGAAGACCTGTTTGAGATGTGGTGGTTTCAGCAAGGCCTCAGCTTCCTCCCCTCGGCCCTTGTGATCTGGACGGCGGCCACCTTCATCTTCTCGTACATCACCGCCATCACACTCCACCACGTCGACCCTGCTCTGCCTTACATCAGGTCAGCCCCCTGTCCCGCGCAGGGGCATGTGCGTGTCTCGTTCACGGGCCCACGCTGAAGCCGAGGTGTAACGTTAGCATTGTAAAATTCAGACTTTGTGTTTGGCATTGCAGCGGTGAGAAGGATGTAATAAGGAGGGCGCCTTTGGCTCTCCCTGGTGCCGGAGAAATGTGGACAGAGAGGGCTAAGATTCAGTGGGCGAACTGCTCAGTGATCAGGACACTTCAGTGCCTTGTCCTCCAAACAAGTATTTGAATTCATCTGAGCAGGTAGAATTGGAGTAACTTTGCCCTAAAGTGCAGAAAATGCTGCAGATGACAATAATAATATTAAAAGATAATAGTAATGAAGAACATTTTTGGATCTACTTACTGTGTACAAGGTAATGTTCTCAGCATTCTTCGGGTCTTAAGTAACTGAGTCCTTACGGCCATGCTTTGTAGTGGAAACTACTACCCCATCTGAGGAAATGAGGTCCAGGAAGGTTCAGCGATTTGTCCAAGGACACATGACCCAGTGAGGGAGGGAACCGAGATCCGATTTCACCGCTCTGTCTGACTCCGGAGGCCGTGCTCTTAGTTTTTAGGCCATGTCGCCTAGGTCCTGCTGGCTGACACGTTAGGTATCAGAACTTGTTGGCAGTATTTTCAGAATTTCAAAATTACTGGTAAGGATAGGTCCTCAGTTTTATGTGTGCCTGTAACCTTTCTCCCCCAACTGGGAAGGCCGTATGTGTTTACTGTAACAAATTTGAAACCATGCCGGCGCGACGATAAAAGGAGTCAGCAGCCTCCCTCGCCCATCTCCCTCGAGTTCCTGCCTCCGCACCAGCGGTCCGTGCTTTGGCGGGTTTCCTCCCAGAGCTTTGGGAGGTGTTGGTGGTGTTGGAGTTGTTTCATTTATTTGCTTTCCTTTTGAAAAAATAGCCTTTCCAATACACAAAATAGTAAACTTTTAAAGGCTGAGAGGCCAGCGGGCAAATCTGTTTTTCATAAATGTGAGGAAGAGACCAGGCTGTTCCTGTCCCACTCATTTGCACAGAGGTGTAGGGCAGCACAGAGAATACCAACAAATCGGGGGCCCTGGGGGCAGGTGTGCAAAGCCCAAAGATATGTCTTACTTAAGGTTCCAATTCCAGGAGTCATTTGATACGTAATCACCAGTGTTTGCTACCCTGCCAGAGCACACGTAGCTTAAAGAGCCAGGTCATTCTTCAGTAACTCCAGGAGAAAAGGCACAGAGAAGGTTGGTGAGGGTCCTGCGTTTTTATTTCCCCTTCAAAAACTTGCCTGCTTTCATCTTAAAGAGTTTTAAATAACTTGAGAGGCCCTCTCAGTTCTTCAGTTTCAGTTCCCTGCTGGTCCTGCATGTGATTTCCTGGCCAGTCGTCCCCTGGGCACTTCCTTTCCTGTCCCTCCCCTTTTTTCTGCTGGTAAACTCAGTACTATTACCCTAGGGTCTTGCCCCAACATTATAATATATTTAAATTCAGTGGTACTTACTTTGAGCTCTGGTAAGCTCATTTCCTTCACCTGAAAAATGATTAAGTTAAACTAGCTCCTTTCCATTCATAAACCCTAACTACAAGGTTTGCTACAGCTGCTGAGGACATAACCAAACGTAAATTTCACTTCCAAGACAATTCTGCAAGTGGGTTTCCGGCGTCCCCTAGGTTGGAGGGGTGGGTGCTCCAGTGGGTGCGTGACACTGGCCCGTGGAGTATAAGGTGAAATTATTAGAACTTCCTTTGTGTATTTTTTAAACCTCAAAATACTTAAACGTAATATGTGTCTAATAATACATATATTTTGAAGCTACGTGATCAGACTTTTTTTTGTGGTGTGTGATCAAAAGCGTGTGCTGACCCCTGGGTGGCGGGCTGTGCTGGGGGAGCGGTGGGAGCTGTTCCCATGTGCAGGCGGCTTCCGTCCGGGTTCCGCAGCCGGGAAGGGGCCGCCCCACTTGGAAACGCACGCTTCTGTTTCCTTTCTGGCTAATCCAAAACAAGAACATCATTTGGAGCGCAGCTACTAAAATTGCACTGTTTTTTTCTGATAGCGGTAGTACATGTATGTTATTCTTGAAAAGATGAAGGGTAGAGAGATCAACAGCAAAAAAAAAAACAAACAAAAAAAAACCCCAAAATCCCCACTCCCTGAATGTGATCAAAAAGTAACAGAATCTTCTGTATCTGGTGATACTTTGTAGAATAGGCCTTCAGATTTATGTTTGATACTTTGCTTTTCTTGAACGTAATCCAAGTGTTCACCGAATTTTCCTGGTGCCTTACCAGAAACGACTGTACGTTCCTATCTTTATTCTCATTAGTGTCCCGTTTGAGGTCCTCACTGTCTCTTTCCTGCAGCAGTTCAGTTCGAGGCCGACAAAGGCTTTGCCTCTCTGGGCCCTGCGGCAGCTGAGGGAAGGGGAAGGCGCACACTCGCAGCGTGTGCCTGCTGCTGCGGTGGCTGTTTCACACGCGTGACCGCAGTTTCAGTTCTGCCCACTCAGTGAGGCTGGGAGCACACGAGTAGCTCCATTGGGCAGACAGGCTTAGGAAGATAGAGGAACACACCCAAGGCTCCACCGTTAGTAGGTGGTGGGCTGTTAAACTGGATCTGCGTATGCCAGGGCTCCCCAGCCTCCGGGCCGAGGACGGGTGTTCCGAGGTCTGTCCCCCGTCACCCCATCTCGCCCCCCATTCCCACAGTAGGATAGCAAGCCGAGCTCCCCTGAGCTCCCCTCATCCATCCACAGTGGGCGTAAGCTCCGCCTCCTGTCATGTTCCCCCCTCCCCCGTGTCCCCCAACATCTTCCACAAAACTGGACCCTGGTGCCAAAAAGGTTGGGGCCTGCCAGCATACACCTCAGTGCCCTGAAAGACAGGCTTTGCATGTGCATTGGAGTAGCTGGTTTTAACACAGGCCTGGGCAGAAGGCTGAGCGAGTCAGCCTTCTGCTGGAGGAGGGGTCAAGGCCACAGGGAGGTGGGGGCTCCAAACTGGTCCTGAATAGAGGCCCCAGGAGGCCAAGGGCTTTGTCTTCTTTACTTACCACCGCATTCCTGTTCCCAGAATGCTGTGTGGCACACGGTAGGTGCCTGATGAATATATTTTAATTAATTAGGAAACAATTAGATGTTAGTCGAGTCCCAGGCAGAGTCAACAACAACAGATAACAAAAGACCAAGTTGCGCAGTGACACGTGACGGTTAGAGAACATTCAGGAGAGGCAGGGAGACGTCTGCCTGACCGAGGTCAGTGGGCAGCACATCCTCAGCACTCGGAGGGCGGCTTTTCGTCAGTTTACGTTGGTTTCTGTTACGTGAAGAAAATAATCTTAAGTGATTCGGAAAAAGCGAACAAGGCAAATGTCGTGAACCCGAGTGGTCATGCTCCATTATGAAATTAAAGGAGGTGAGGATGGGTTTGTGAAAAGATAAAGGACTTGAAGGAGCCACCATTATTTCTTATCCCTGAGAAGGAATCCACAAGCCTCTTTTTTTTTTTTCTTTCAGTGACACTGGCACAGTCGCTCCAGAAAAATGCTTGTTCGGGGCAATGCTGAATTTCGCCGCAGTTTTATGTGAGTGTGAGAGCCGTTTTAACCACCGAAATGTGTAGCGAAATCACCCCTTTTCACCTTTAGACAGTATTGTGCTACTTGTTTTACTTCTTAGTTACTACACTTGAGGGAATGTTATCACTAAATGATCAGTCATAAACACATTCCTTTGAAAAGAAACAATTTCTAGAATGCCGAATGATGGAAAATCTTAAAAAAAACACCGTAGGACTATTTGACTACTCATTCAAATACAGTTGCAAAGTATAACCCAGTATTCCTGGAGGCCTTGGGGCCTTACGTCGATTTCTTAAGCAGCCAGGAGAGGTCAGAGCTGCACACACTGACCACAGCTAACCCCAGCGAAGTTCCTTTGGGGTGAATCATCGAGAAGCTGGAGAATGGCAGTGGAACCACATTTGGGTTTTTGAGTGATATTCTAATGCCCAAGGGGTGGAGTTCTACAGTAGTCCATGTTGCTATTGATTACTTATTTCTTGAACCAAATTTTTATTAATGGTTTACTAAAACATTGGGTCTTTTTTTTTTACCAGTTGTGATTGTTTTAAATATTTGTATTCTTTCATACAAAGTCAAAAATTACAGTCGAGGAAATGATTTAACATACAGAAATTCAGCTTTTCACTAAAGTTTTTAAAATGTCAACAAAGGCTACGTTCTCTATACTTTTGAGTTCTTTGGTAATGTTTGCAGTGGAAAGCTTGAGTTGGCCCTTTCTTGATTAACAGGGAGGGTATAGTGTTTTCACCTTCTGTGGAAATGCTACGTCTGCTTGAGGCAAGTTGTAAGATTTTGAAATGAAATGAGAGTGAGACAAATAATCTTGTGGTAGTTTTCACCTATGGGCATTTTATTCATATTCTAGAACTAATTACCTTCGACTTTAACATTAAACATACAAATATTTTGTTTTATATAACATTTACATATAAATAAGTGTTATATAACGTTATATAACATTATATAACATTCACCACAAATTTCTGAGATTTTCAGAAAACACCAAACTTGCATCTTAAATTTTATGCTAAATATTAGTAGATGTTAAACCAGCCCCAGCCCCCCGACCCTGGGAGTGAATGGCCTCTCAGTTCCACAGAGATGCCAGTAGTTTTATAAAGCAACCTTACATTTTCTTTAAAGTCTACAGCTTTCTCTTAGTTTGGGGGGAGGGATGGGGTTGGTCATCTCTCAGATTAACTTTACAAGGAAAACCTATGTTTCTGGATAGCAGTGACCTTGTGAACTGTTTATTGGCAACTTTGTGTCTTGGTTATTTATTAACTCTTATCTTTTGGATTCTCTCTTCCCAGGCGTTGCTACCATTTATGTCCGTTATAAGCAAGTTCATGCCCTGAGCCCCGAAGGGAAGTGTGTCCTCAGATTAAACAGGGCCGGCCTTGTACTGGGACTGCTGAGCTGTTTAGGCCTTTCTCTCGTGGCCAACTTTCAGGTTTGTGTTGTAACCCGGCCTGTTTTCCTGAAGTACCTAGACCCCGAGCATTCAGTTACATGCTGACACTGTTTCTTTTTCTCAACGACACAGAATTCACTGCTTTGAAATTATTTGACTGTTTTAGAGATAGCTGCATTCACTCACTGCTTTGAAATTACTCAGCCTTTTTAGAAATAGCTGCACCCACGATTAGAAAACTGCATTCTCAATAATCTCTTGGCCAAATATAAAGTAGTCTGTCTTTTTAAGGATGGATAGGATTCTATTTATTAGACTCTTTATTACTACTTAGTTGGAAATTACTCCAAGGCCAGAGATAATGGATATAAACCTAAGTGACACAATTACAGATTTAAGCCTTTTTTAAAAATATGCCTGGTGAGGGACACGCCTGTACATGTTTTGCATCCTGGTTCAGACGTTCCCATGGACCGCCTGCGTTCCTGGGTGCCCCGCCCTCAGGCGAGGAAGCACAGGAGCGATCTGGAGCTCTTTCAGCTTTTTCTCGGGGACTCTTAATGCTCAAGTAGCAGTCTGCCTTCACCGAATGTTTGCAGACTCTCCGCGTTTATTTCTCCCAGTGTTCTTCCAGATGAGTCGTCGGCACTACCGCTTGTTTCCTGGGCCTGTGGTGCTTCTTGATTGATCTCTACAGTCTTTAAAGTTTCCGTTTAGATAGTTGATAACTAGCCAGACATAAAAACACACATCATACAAATAAGTATATTAGAGGCATGTTCTGTCTCTCTTATGCAAAGTCCTCCCTTCCCGTAATGTCTGATGGTGCTTTCCTATTTCCCAGTGTCTCAGCAATGGCTCCCACTGGGAACCTCCGTGAGTACAATGCAGGTGGATATCAGGGCCGTGCTTACTGCTGTAACAGAGCCCAGAGCCCCAGCGCCTGTTTCATACACACATGTGTCCAGCGCACACACAGCGGAGGCATTAAGAAGGCAAGTGATTCAGAATGAGGTTGGAGAGGTAGACAGCAGCCCGAGCACATAAGACCTTTGAGTAAATGAAGCAGCTTGGCAGTTTATCACATTACTTGCTCTCTCTCTCTCGCAATTGTATCTCTTCTCGTGTAACGTTAGACCTGCAGAATTTTGAGCAGGGGGACAGCCTCGTTCCTCATCATTCCCCTTACTCCCATCTCCATCGTATGTATAATGGAGACGTTGGTAAGGGGAATGGTGGTGTCTTTGTGGCTTCAATAAGGCAGGTTTACCGAACTCCATTCCCTGTGTCGTCTCTGCTGCTGGACCTGCCAGCACCCGAGCCCAGCCTTCGGCTCTCGGTGCCGGGCCGAGCAGACCTCTCCCCAGGGAAGTCCTTTCTGTTGGTGGACCTGCTGCCATGTAGTTCCTGTTCTCTCTGCGTTCTCCAAACAGAAATTAACTCTTCATAGTGCTTATTGTAGTCTAAGTTTAAAAATAACTGTATTTTATAAGTTTCGTTTTTAGAAATTTTACTCCAATATACTTCTCCATTACTTATGGGCGTAGTGGTTTTGTCCACCATTGTACATTCAGCTCCTAACATAAAACTTTGGACAAACATGCTCTCATTAAATATTTAGTCACTTACTTACTTACTGAGAGGGGCCAAAGGGACTGAGCAGAATGAATAAAAAAATCTGCTATCACTGTAGTTACCTGCATTTAAAGTGACCTAATAATTATAATACGGTGTTTGAAAAATCTGACTTAAAAATACAAATTTAATTTCTTTGAAGAAAAGTATGTATAACAGTAATTAGTAAAACAAATACATGGTAAGTGTACTCGGTGCCTACTTAGAGGAAGTTCTCTCTTCCTAGGAAATTTATCCTCAAGGAACTTGCAAGGGATAAGGAGGCGGAAGTCTATATTAATTTCCTAGAACTACCATGTAACCATGCACCACAAAGCAGTTTTATACAACTCTGTTCTAATAAAAACATGGTAGTAAACGCTCTCCATTCTTTGTCGTTGCTTTTTAATCCACAGGATTTGGTTCACAGGGCTTTGCGGGCTCACAGCGGGCATCGAACGGGCCATGTCTGTTTTCAGCCTCATCAGTGTATGTGGGAATAGTTTCAAGGGGAAGATGGTGCAGACTCCGCCGACCAGTGGTGTCTGCGGCGCTGTAGGTGGGACAGACAAATTCACACCTACTGCATGGCACTGCCACGCTCTGAGGGAGAGAGCGGCCCAGCCCCCGCCTGGACAGGCTGTTACTGCTTTTCGGGGAGCATTACCTAAAGGAAGGTCATTCATCTTTGTTGGGCAGTAATGATCAAACAATAGATAACATTCAAAGAACTCTGAGGGTTTATTCTGCCTCAGGGTCAGTTAGCTGAAGGGCCATAAAACTGAGAAACAAACTCATTTCATGCTTGGACCTTATCAGAAAATTGAGGGCATTCTTAGCAAAGCAGGTTTCACAGGATTTTACGCATTCTTTCTTAGGCCTGATCACCCCAGGGAACCACCCGTTCCTGCCCAGAGCTGCATTGCCCTCCGGCATTGTTTCAGGCTTAAGTCAGGCAGGGGAAATAAGGCAGCCAAGAGATTAGGAGACTTCTTACAGACAGAATAAGGACTCAGGCTTTGTCAAAGGCCCAGGGGCGAGGGTCCATCACCCCCTTTTTCCATAATCCCCCAAATTCTTCCCTGAGGGGCCCTTCATGACCATGCCTGTCTTAGGTTGTCCCTCTCTTGAGGAATCTTACCCGTCACTGGCTAACCAGTCATCCACCCGGGGCCAAGCAGGGTGAAGTAAAAGTGTGCAGAGGTGGTGCCCCTGCCAGGAAGATAATCTTTGTCTCCTTAGTGGCTTATGGTCTCCAAGGTCTTTTTACTCAGCCTTAGCCATGGGAGGTTACAGCTTCTGAACCCAGGCAGGATGGTTCCCAATAGGAAAAATTTACCCATATTTCTGTTCTTAGCCCTAAAACAATTAATTTCATTTTTTGCCTGTGTTTACTAGCCTTTTTGTATAGCTAAGTCTACATAATTATGAACAAAGAAAATATTAGCATTTTATATTACCATTTATGGATGCTGAATGTTTTTTTTCTTTGTTACACAGAGTAGTAATAATGATTAATTTTTTTCTCTCCTTAGTGTTCATAACATACTGCCAGTTTTAACACCCAAAACCATATCGGAGTCTCCCTTTCTCTCTCCAAAAGGAAACTAATGACTTTGGCAAATAAATTGTTGTACTTTACTTCTTCATACTAGAAACAGTCTATGTCTTCAACTACGAAAATGGACTCTGTGTTTGTGGGTCAGCACCTCAATTGTAGAATGAGGCAACCGAGCCCCGGCCTCTCTCTGTTCCCTGAGTCAGAAAGTCAGACCCTCTCTGCCAGGTGCCACGCTGTGTGCCCCCCGCCCCCCCCAACGCAGTGTCTGATGAGACAAAGGGAGTGGCTTCAAGGAAGGCTTTTGACTGTAGACCTTTTAGAGAGAGCTACGGCCATCACGTTTTAAGCAGCGGGTGTTACAGGAAAAAAGGAACATGTAAATGCTTACCGATAAGAAGAGTGAGGTAAAGGAGGAAAAGAATTACAATTTATGATAATCCCTTGTCACATAATTCTGAAAATCAATCAAACTAGAGCCAGGAGGGCACATTTTAATTTCTTGAGTCTGTAACTTGTATTTAGATTTAAATTGAACCTTTCTACCCCAGTATTCTCGACCACCCCAATCCTCTCCACCTCGAGCACTCTCTTTTTTCTCACCCTTGTCAGCATCTAACATACTGTGGAATTTACTTATTTCCAAAGTGCATTATTTATTGTTCACACAGCTTCACTTGAATGAAAACTCTAAGGGCCATATTTTTGTTTGCTTTTTTCACTAGTGTACCAGAATACTAAACCATGCTTGACATACAAAATGCACCTAAAAATGCAAACACATTAAATGGATGAATAATGACTATCGTATTTTCAGTTGTGGCCTATGAAGTAACTTGAATGACTACAGTCCACACAGGTTTATGCAGAATGTCATGAAAGAAAATGAGCCTGGGAAGTAGCTAGTAGAACTGGCGGGGGTTTCCACGCAGGGAATGGCCCAGTGAACTGGCCGGCTCGCGCTGGCACGCCCTGCGTTGGCCGTGTGTGTGCAGCTCCTTTCACGTTCTGTTTCTCCCCGCGGCCCTCAGAAAACCACCTTCTTCACCGTGCACATCTGTGGCGCTGTGCTCACCTTCGGCATGGGCTCCCTGTACATGTTTGTGCAGACCGTCCTTTCCTACCAAATGCAGCCCAAAATCCACGGCAAACAAATCTTCTGGATCCGACTGCTGTTGGTGATCTGGTGCGGAGTAAGTGCGTTTAGCAGTATCCTTTGCGGAATGTGTGGCTACACTGGGAACGGAGCTGAGTGACAGAATTTACGTGAACACTGTTGGCACAGTGTAAGCAGTCCTTTTGTGGACGGTGAGATTCTTGGGTGAGCGACCCTAAATTCAAGGATCTGAGAGATGTAATTTAAATTTTACATAGGACCTGAGTAACTGAGCTAGGAACAAAGATAATATTTAGCCTACTCATGCTCACTTCAGAGATGTTGTGGGTGAGATAACGTCTTCCCTGAGGACAGTCGTGTAGCAGAAGCTTGGGACAGAAGTGCCGGATTACTGAGCGGGGGAGGAAGCTGGCCATGGGAACATTTCATAGTGAGCCTCTGGGCACGTTCGAATCCAACCGCCGTGTGATGTGAGGTCTCCAAGAAGATGGGTTTGGACCTTGGAAATGAATATATGAGTAATCCTTTTGGATTATTTATTATTACTATTTTGGGAGTACATTTACAAAGCTGGGGACAGTGAGACAAGAAAGTGCTTAGGATAGAAGCAGCAACAGGAGGGAGACCGAGGTGGGGCTGCTGGCAGCTCACTGGACAGTCGGAGAAAGGGGCCTTGGAGACAAGTGCAGAGGGTTGGCCTGACACAGGCTGCCGCTGTCCTCTGCTCCCTGGGTGCCGGTCTCGTGGGGACCCCTGGAGTTCAGGAGATGTGCAGGGGGAAGGTGAGGAGGAAGGGAAAGGTGCACCCGTGCTCTAGCGGGGGAGACCCTACTCCCTTTGGGCCTTTACAGCAGTTTTTGTGTTGAATCTAATTTAAACTTACTGCTTCTGTCTGAGAATCTTCCTTGACGGGCATCTCCCCTAGTGCTGACCTGCTCGTCACTCTTGTACAGCGGCAGCTTCGGCACAGATATAGTACAGAAGCTCCACTGGAATCGCCAGGACAAGGTAAGAGCCTAGGGTCTAAAAGGCTTCGTTTTCTATTACAGATGAATTTTGACGTGTTTTTCACTTCATCACTAACAATGAAACATTTTCAGGGGAACCATCAGTCACATATTAAGATTATTTTCTATATATGATAGCGTTTATGTAAAATTATGTATATTCTGTCTCTTGTGGTCTGTGCACATTTTCAAGACATGAAAAGAATTGCGATGGCAGAGTTTTGTCAGAAATTGACTCCTCGAAATAAGGATATAGTAATAGTATACAACATACCCAACGGAGAGCTTCTGTCATTAGAACACTTGTCTTCTGAATTGAAAAAGAAATGCCTTTTCCCATTTTTTATTTTATGGAAGTGTGTTATCATGGACTCTGCCTTTGGGTTCCATCATATGGTAGACATCTAAACAGAGATCCCGAGGAAAAAAGAGAAGGGACATACTGAATAGATAAGAAAATGAGTGTATGTTTTCACAAACCACTCAGTGGCATTTTATTTTAAATTATTTTGAAAAGAAAAATCAGTTCTGATAGGACATGTTTGTGAAAATGAATGATTGAAACAATTTACTTGCTTCTTTGAAGTATGATCCATATATTATTTAGTGCTTTAAAAAGAACAGTTAAGGCCTGGCTGGCGTAGCTCAGTGGATTGAGCGCGGGCTGCGAACCAAAGTGTCACAGGTTCGATTCCCAGCCAGGGTACATGCCTGGGTTGCAGGCTATAACCCCCAGCAACCGCACATTGATGTTTCTCTCTCTCTATCTCTCTCTCTATCTCCCTCCCTTCCCACTCTGAAAATAAATAAATAAAATCTTAAAAAAAAAAGACTGATATCTTAAAAAAAAAAAAGAACAGTTAAGTTTACCAGAATCATTGTTTACTTAAGTTTTGATTTGTTCCGGTTTTGGGTGAATCTCTGGCTCTGGGAAAGCCAGTAGCTTCTTGACTGTTGAGTAGGACGTCTGTTCTGTCCCAGTTATTCAGATGGAACCTTTCCGCGCTCTACATAGAACTGTGACAGCCACGTCATTTCAGAGGACCTTCCTAAAGCCTGCCTTTCATTCTCAAGATGCGTTGAAAAAAAATAAGGGTTTATAAGTGTTATGGGTTTTTAAAAATATTTTTTTTATTTATTTTAGCAAGGGGAAGGGAGGGAGAAGGACAGGGAAGAGAAACATCAGTGTGTGGTTGCCTCTCATGCACCCCCTACTGGGGACCTGGAATGCAACCCAGGCCTGTGCCCTGACTGGGAATCAAACCAGCAGCCCTTTGGTTCGCAGGCCGGAGCTCAGTCCACTGAACCACACTGGCCGGGGCGGGTTTTTTATTTGAGAGAAACTATAGACCATTTGAATGAAATTTCACAGAACTATTCTTTTTTTCGTTGCCACTCAAGGGCTATGTGCTTCACATGATCACCACTGCAGCTGAATGGTCTATGTCATTTTCCTTCTTTGGTTTTTTCCTGACCTATGTCCGTGATTTTCAGGTAAGAAAACACAGAACTAGATTTATGTGGTCTAACTTCCTTCAGGTGGAACACGAGAACTTTCTAGAGGCAAGTCTTCACCCTTTCAAAAAATAACTTTCCGAACAGCAATGCCAGAAGAGAAACTTCTCAGATGAATTGTTTCTCTGTTTGCAGAAGTAGTGTATTACTAGCAAGACTCGGCTTTGGAAATGGGGTTGTAAAACGATCATATTTGTAGAAACCCTTTTTTGGAATTTTCATCAACTCTTGCCTACATGTACATTGGCCATCCCCAACACTGAGTTTTACTGATTCTTCATAGAAACGAAAGATAAATGAGCAACTTCTGAATAGACAAGCTTGGCTTTCCCAGCCGTACTAGTACTGCAGATGCTGCCTTTGGCGGGACAACAGCTGTCTCATTCTTGTCACTCATTAGAACTGATTTGCCTTGCTAATCCCAAAAGATATTCTTCAGAACATACTGAAAATGTGATCTGTCATGAAAGAACAAACCTCTATGTATGATTTTTCTTTTCTGTTCCAGAAAATTTCTTTACGGGTGGAAACCAGTTTACATGGATTAACCCTCTACGACACGGTTCCTTGTCCTATTAACAACGAACGAACACATCTGCTCTCCAGAGATTTCTGATGGAAGGATAACATAATTCTGTGATGGTTATCATTCTCAGGGATTGGGAAAAGATTCATGAGTTACTTTTGCTCTGAAATTTCCAACCAATTAATCAAGGCTGACAGTGACATTGACAGGTTCTGATAATCAAGAGATGTGAATTAAGCCATTTTATAAATTATTTTAAAGGATATTTTCAAGAGGATCATGTAAAAAGACATTTATGCCTATACTTTTTTTTTAATCCCAGAAAATAAAACCAAAGGACTAAAGCACTGTAGATTTTTTTCTTCTACTTTAAGTGAAACACCAGAAATGCACCCAGCAGTCTGCAAAACTCAGCATTTTTGTGTTTTAGAAATTATTGTAAAGAAATTCTTTTCCCTGGAATCCACCTATAAAGGGAAGCCAACCTGAATTCACCTGAGCACTGTCATTGCTCCAGCTTCGCACAAGAGGGTTTTTGGGGGTATTCACTCGGTTCCTGCCACAAGGCTAGATCCTGTGCCAGCTGGCCTGTCACACGTCGTTGCAATAATTTCATGAAGCTCAGTCTCTGGTGTGAGATTTTAATCCAAAATGAGAGAAGTAGCTACATTTCAATTTACTCCAATCATGTTTCACATAAAACAAAGGTTAGTGTTCATTCACAAGGCTGAGAAGTTTGTGAATAACAGCAGATCATTAATAAAGTTAGCTTAAACTGCAGTCAAGAGCTTTTTAGACCTTTCTTTATAGCAAATTATAATTACTTGTAAAAGAAGCCTTGAACAGGCAAATACTGAGCCTTTTTACTGGGATGTGATCTTTGTAGAACTCAAATTCTAAAGGACAAATGAGCCACCCAAAATAGCTAGGTGCAAGACAATTGTGATACATCCACCAAAACAATTTTCTGTTGCTCTGGTCATGCAAGAGATTGAATAGCTTCTGCCCGAATCCCTGTCTACACAGATAAAGAATGGTTTACAGATCCCAGATAAAATTCAAAAGAAGAAAATGCTCATCTGAAGGTATCTGGTGACAACCTGGTTTGCACAAGAATCCTTGTAGAAGATGAACAAGATTTATCTTTTTAGGAGAAAATGGTTCTACAGCCAAGATAAAAGATGGTGAAGAACAAGCTTTCAGTATAAGAGGAAGCAATTTAAAGGAAAATGGTTATATGGTGGGGCCAGAGAGCTTGGTCATGAGTAAGGTGCTAGAATAGGACTGTTTCTGAAGAGTTGTGGACTAAGACCAAATGGAATGAAATCCTGTTTATATCAAGCAGTAGTGAACATGGGCAACATTTCGATAAACATCAATTAGCATCACTAGAAAAAATATGGGTGTGAAGTTTAAAAATTGTTATGTCTCTGCAAGTCATAGCACAGCCACACCTGAGAAACGGCATGTAGTCCTGATTGCTGTATGTCAAGGAAACTAATTAAATCACGAAGACCACAGTTTGGTAAGGGGAAAATCGATAGCATCAACATTCATGAAAATATAAACTATGTGTGGGTGAGAAGACACAGGGAAGAATGTGGACTTGTATGTTTGTACTAGAATATTATGTTAAACATATACACTAACACATTAAATTATTTTAAAATAAAAATGTTACTTTGATCGTGTTTTAATTCCATTGTTTAACTTTTATCCTTAGAAATAACATAGGCTCAAAATATTAATAAGTTCAAGAAGGGATTATAATTAGAAATTTTTGAATATCTGTTTATCTCTCACCTTAAGGCTTAAGTAATGGAAGATAACTATATACTCCCTCAAAATATACTTGTGCTTTGCCTCCAGTGTCAGATACAATAGATTGGATGAACCAATAACACATTTCTCTTTAATTCAGTTAACATTTTTGTATCAAATGCTTGGCTTTAAAAGTAAGAGGTTTGAGGCTGACAAGATTAGCAGACACTATGGACTGACAGTGAAAATCCATTTCCTTTTTGTCCTGGGTAAACATAGATGACGTTTTCCAGACTCCTTTTCAACTAAGAATCGACACAAGAGTGAAGTTTAGCTGGTAGAATATAAATGAAGTGGATGTGTCTGCAACACAAGAATGCCCTTTCACAATTGTTTCTCCTTACGCCAGTTGGATATTGATTAGGAGATGACACAGTCACACAATAGAAGGAGCCTGCACTAGTCCACTTTTAACCAGATATTAGAAAATCAAACTAGAGATCCAGTATAATTTAGACATCTTTTTATCCTTTCCATGTAGTAAGGTTATATTGTGTATTTCCAGAACTGTGTCATATATGTATTGTAAATGCTTCATGGATTTATGAGAGAGACAGCTTTTCCTGTCTCCCCTGCAGTGTCCTGTACAGACTCGCTATGAAATGAAGTTCAGTTACTACTATTGCCTTATTAGTGCCCTGGTAAACCCAGGATGTACAGCTGGTTCTAGAAGAGAATGCACTCATTTGTTAGGAAGGCTCTTTCCAGGGCATCATGAGTCATAAGCAGTTCTGTCCTCCAGGAGGCATGGTGATTCAGAGAGTTTGCCTTGTCAGAAAGCCTGAATGAAATACGGAGAGAATGCCTGACATGCAGTTCAGCCAAAAAACAGATTTTACTGAAGTCTCACCAATGCTGAGATCCCAATCTGTGCTGAAAGAAGACTTGTTCACTTAAAATACTTAAGCAACTGGCAAAGTGAATCAAACCAAAGCAGCAACAAAGCTCATCTCCACCTCAACTGCAGATGTGATGGGCTCCGCCTTCCACTCTAGGAGTCCCACGGAGGAACAGGCATGCCCTTTTCTGGAGGTAACTTACTTGTTTCCACACCTACTCTGCTTTTATACAAAATATCCAGCATACAGTAAGAAATCAGAAGACGTGTAAAGAAGCAGAAAAATTTGATCCAGAGAGGAAACAGTCGATAAAAGCAAACAGATTTCCCAGATGTTGCAATTATTGGGTAGATAACTATGATAAAGATGCTGAAGGAACTAGTGAAAATAGTGCAAAACATGCATGAAAAGATGGGGACTTTCAGTTGGCAACAGGCAAACTTTGAAAAGCACAAGAAAGTTCCACAACTGGATATGGTTACACATAGAGAAAAGGATAGATAAAGTTGAAGACGGTATTTGAAAGTATAAAAACTGAAAATTTGAAAAGAGTAAAAATAAAAATACAGAATGTAAGTTCGAAGGCAAAATCAAGTAGACTTACATCTTGTAATTGAGTTTCAAGGACTTAAATCTGTAACAGCCTTCAGGAGAGGATAAAGAGAAGGATACAGAAGAAATGTTTGAAGACATACTGGGAATTTTTCCAAAATTGATGTACGTTAGTGAAAAGAAAATCAGCAAATTCAACTGAGTTTTTTTAATGACTGATACTAATGCACACCTCGCAAGGCTAATATATGAGGTTGAGTAGTGTTTTCCCCAAAGTCATATTCATCCAGACCTTTGGGGTATGATTGTGTTTGGAAATAGGGTATTTGTAGATATAATTATGATGGATCATTCTAGGTTATGATGAACCCTAAATTCAATGGGGAATCTATAAGAAGACCACCTACCTTGTAACACAGGAATGGAGAAGGCAGAGTGAAGACAGGCAGAGACTGGAGTAATGCAGCCTCAAGCTAAAGAATGCCAGAGGTGGCCAGCAACCAGAAACCAGGAAGAAGCAAGGAAGGATTCTCTCCCACAGCCTGTAGAGGGAGACTTGATTGTGGATTTCTATGAATCCAGAAATTCTCATATTTCCTCCAGAAATATGAGAATAAGTTTTGGTTCTTCCAGGCCACCCACTTTATGGTAATGTGTTATGACAGCCTAGGAAACTAGGGGAAAAAACCTGATCCAGTAAAAAAGAGAAAACACAAATTACTAATACCAGGAATGAAAAGAGGGGCATAATTACCTAGCTATTTGACATTAAGGATAATAGAGCATGTTATGGACAACTTTAAGCCAATAAATTCAGCAGTTTGGATGAAACAAATGCCTTTTGAAATGTAAGTTGTCAAAAGGGATGCAAGAGGAATAAATCTAAAAATAGCTCCATGTTTATTAAAGTACTGAATTTGTAATTACAGATCTTTCCCAGAAGAAAACTTCAAGCCCTGGCTACTTCACAGGTGAATTCTGTCAGACATTTAAGTTAGAAAAATACTAAGTTCCACACAAACTCTCTCAAGAAACTGAACTTTTCACCTTGTTCTATGAGGCTGCCATAACCCCAGTAACAAAACTTGGCAAATGTGCAAAAAGGAAAACATTATGTCCCTCATGAACACAGCTGCAAAAATACTTAACAAAATAGTAGGAAATGGGGCTTAGCCATGAAGAACAAATGATACAGCATGACCAAGTGGAGTTTATCCCAGTAATATAATTTACTACAATGACATAAAGGAGAAAAATCAGAACAAAAATTTGGTAAAATGGAACACTTTTAGGATTAAAACTCCCACCAAACCTGAAACAAAAGAAAATTTCACCACTTTATAACAGGCACCTATAAAAATCTAACAGCTAATATATTTAATGGTTCCATATTAGATCCCTTCTAGGACTGGACAAAAGACAGATATAATTCTATTCAACATTGCAGTGGAAATCCTACTCAGTATAAGACATGAAAAAAAGGATAATGCATGTTTACAAAAATCCTATGAAGTTTTCAAAACTAACTTTGGAACAATAAGTGTACTTAGAAAGGTCGTTGGATAGAAATTCAATAATGATGATAAACTGCAATTCTGTATTAACAATGAATACTCAAAAACTGAAATACATACTGTTATCTAGTGTATAAAATAGTGGTGTAACAAGGAACAAATCTAATGACATGTAAGATCTTCACACTGAAATTTGCTGTTTAAGGAATTCTTAAAATACCTAACAAAAATTGCCGTTAAGAACTCTAAACTACCTAACTGCAGTTCTGTGCTGCTTAGCAGTGTTGATCAGCAATGGTCTGCATATTGACACTAGTGGTCCCATAAGATCATAATGGAGCTGAAGAACCATCACCACCTAGTGACAGAGCCATCATACTGTAGTAGCACAGTGCTTTACACAAATATGTACATTGTGTTACAGTTGCCTGCAGTATGCAATTCAGTTACATGTTGTATAGGTTGGTAGCCTACGTACTATAGAGGAACAGAATTTGACACCTCAAAATATGTCTGTTTGGCCTAAGGTTTATTTTAGACAGATGTGGAAGAAGCTTTGAAAAAAAAATGAAGTTACCTTTTGTAAAAGACATTTACATTTTAAAGGGAAATCTCCATTATAAAATATCTCTTACTACACTGAAGTTGACCTTATCCTGACAAATTCTTAAAAATGCAGAGGACAAGGATTTAAGTCTGTATAAAAACCTTACCCTTGTTGCTGTGCTTTTCCTGTAACTCCCCATAACACTCTCCTCGACCCCACACCTCCTTTTGTCTTCAGCTGAGGGGGTGTGTACAGTGGTGGCTTCAGCCATGTCAACAAGCGACTCATTTTTATCTGGGTTCAACGTATGCAGAAGGTGTACATGTTATGAAGCTTTTATTTGTTTTTCTTCTATTTGTCTTATTACTAGGATGTCTCAGCCAAGAACCCAGAAGATTAAAGGGAAAGTTATTTTTCCTCCCCCACAAAGCAATAGGCTATACCATAACTTATACCATCTATAGCTCAGGTGTGTAGTGAGTTATACCATGTAGGTTCATGTAAGTGCGCTCTGTGACATTCGCATACGACAAAATCACCTAATGACGCATTTCTCAGAATGTATACTGGTAAGCAGCACATGGCTATAAATGAGAAGGTATGCCATGTTCATGATGGGAAGACTCAATATTGTTAAGACACCCAATTTCTACTTGATCTATGGAGTCAGTGTAACCCCTAGCAAAATTTCCAGCATGGTATTTTGAAGAAATTGCCAAGTTGATTCTAAAATTTGTAAATTCATACCATCTAAAATAGCCAAAGAAATCTTGAAGACAACTGGAAGACATAAGCACTGATTTCAAGATGTATCATGTTACAGTAAACAAGACAGCTGACATGGGGATAGACAAATACACTGATGAAACATAATAGAGTCTAAAATAGACAACCCATGCATAGTTGATTTCCAGCCAGAGTCAAGAAAATTCAGTGGGGAAGGAAATCTTCAACTGATGCTTTTTACATCAGAACATCCAAAGACAAACAATGAACTTCAACCTTTACCTTTGTCCTATCTAGACATTTTGAGGTGCGTCATAGACCTACAGGAAAGAGCCCAAGCCATAAAGTGTCTAAATGGAAACATAGGAGGATCTTTTTGACATTGAGGATGACAAAGTTTTCATAGGAATATAAAATGATACAGAGGACTTTTTAAAAATGTAAGATTTCTGTTTCTCAAAAGATAATGTTAAGAATCTATGAGCACTGGACTGCAAAGCAAAGGGTCACCAGTTGGATTCCCAGTCAGGTCACATGCCTGGGTTGCGGGCCAGGTCCCCAGTATGGAGCACATGAGAGGCAATCACACTTTGATATTTCTCTCCCTCTCTTTCTCCCTCCCTTCCCCTCTTTAAAAAATAAATGGACAAAATCTTAAAGAATCTAAATGGGTAAA